GAAATAGTTTTTTTTTTTTTATAGTAATATGCAGATGGTCAACTTAAGCTGGGTTTGTAGTTATAATAGAACAGTAGGTACTTTTCGTTTCTCTCAAATTGTGGTTTGATTTTGGATAAAATTTGAGAAAAATTCTTTCTTATCTATTTTAATATCATTTATCTTTCATATGTTTTAAGTTCGATCAACACCAAAATCCTAGTAAGAATAGATAATTTCAACTTAGGATATATGTTCACACTCGTTGTAACAACAATAAATTCAGGGCAATGTCTTAACTTACTTGCAACATGATATAATTAGAATAGAATTATAACAAAAATAATTCACCACTCAATAAATTTAACTCATATTTTCGGACAGTATTGAAATAATAAAGGAAAAAACTCAAACAAAATGGAATTTCGAAATCAAAAGCATGAGCTTCAACGAAAAATTTGTTTTTAATCAATTCAAATTGAACAAAATTACAAATCTAAGTAGACAAATACAAACTTCATTTAATGACTAGTAAAGAAATAAGTAAGCTCTAAATATTTTTTCGTACTTACTAATGAATGACACTACTAACAGTTTGTATAGGGTACAAAAGCTTATGTCATTTAATAGGAGCCTCTATAACTTAGAAAAATCATACATACTGCTAGATTGATTTCTCTTTATTTTTTTATTAATCACTAAATTAGGTTATGTTTTAGCTTAGAGATAAGATAATAAATTCTCATCTTTTTGTTTTTATTTTTGCTTGTTTTTTTTTTTTTTTTTGTTTCTTTGTTTTCAACTTTGATAGGCTAAATTTGCATGCCATTCTCTTGCCGCTATTTGCTAATTCTTGAATTTTTTAGTTATTTCAGGTAAACTATATGGTAATGCGCAAGTATTTATTCCCACAAAATGGTTGCTGTTACTAGAATGCAGGCATCAAGATAAGGTCAATTTATGGTTATTAATCGAACTATAGGTAATCATCGGTCTTATTTCATAGTCATAACTAACATCATCTAGCTGAATAGTTAAAATATCAAATTGTGTTTCATACTATCACTTAAAACTTTAGTTATTTATTCCTTTCTGACTAGTACCATTATTTTACACATAATAGTTTTGAAGTACTAGAGTAACAAATGACCGAAATTTTTTTACTTCTCATGCTTTTACCTATTTTTTGCTATTAGCATATATGCTTGCTGTCATATGGATTATTATCGGGTTGAAACTATCAAAATTAGGTAAATGCAAGTGTCAGACCAATGTGATTATTATTATTATTATTTTTAACTTAGAGATAATTAATATACATTTTAACTATTTATTGAATAGTATAAATATCAAATTGTGTTCTATGTTAGCACCTGTCACTTGAATTCTTTGCAGGTATTGTTATTGTGCTTGTCACTTGAATTCTTTGCAGGTACTGTTATTGTGCACATCATCAGTCATGAGGTATTAATAAACTATAAGATTCATCTCTTTTTTATTGCGATAATTTAATTTTCTATTACGGTTCTTATTTACTTGTAACTCATTTTTTAAGAAAAATTATACAAAAAGTCATGTAATATATATTTTAGTATTATTTATTCTTCAGGTCCTCTAAGTTTTATTGGGAGTGAAAAATCTGTAAGAATATAAATTTTAGGTACGAATATACATTCAATAAATAAGAGCAGGGAATTAAGCACAATGTTTTAGCGTTACTTGAAACATGAACTAATTGAATTGGGGGGTTACAACAAAAAAAACTAATCACTCTATAAATGTGACCTACATCTATTGATAGCACTAAAATATGAGTGCGAGAAGTTCCTTGAGTAAAATACAATTTCAAGTTCAAAACTAGAACACAAATTGAAACTCCATAAAAACACACCTACAAATCAAAGTAAACAAGGAAAAATCGTACTAAACTTTGAAGAATGGCTATGAAAGAAACAAGTTAACCCCATACTTTTTTTTGTAAAACATGTGTAATTTTTTGACTTTTTGAAAGATAGAACTACAAACCAAACAAACAAACAAACAATCTTTCTCAATCGTGAAAAGCGCTGGCCTTCACGAGGAAAAACGACTAGAAATCAAACAAACAAACAATCAAAAATCACATCCAGCTTTGAAAGAGGCTAGTGAAAACACAAATCAAAGCTCTGAAAATGAAAATGGATCAAAACTCAAGCTGAAAGACAAGCAGAAATCTAGATAGACAAAGAAAAACCACATTATATTATGAAAAACGAGTAGCAAACAAACAACTGAGTCTCAAATATCTTTCATGCTAAGACATGCCAATGTTTTTCTTTTAACTTCTTGGAACAAATATGATTACAAACAAAATACCAAAGTCAAACTGAAGAAACACAAATATATATCCAACATACAAACGAAGTTAAAATTAAACCACAACAAAGAACAACTACAAATCTAACAAACAAACAAACAAAAATCACGTCCAACTTTGGAAAAAGTTAGCAAAAACACAAATCAAAATTCAAAACTCGAACATGGATCGAAATTCAAACTAAAACACAACCACAAATTGAGATAGAGAAAGATAAACCACATCCAACTTTGAAATTTGACTAACAAACAAACAACTGAACATCAAATATATTTCATAATAACACATGCCAATACTTCTTCTAACTTTTTGAAACAAACACGATTACAAATAAAACATCAAAGTCAAACCAAACAAACACAAATGTGTGCTCAACAAACCGATCAAATTAAAATCAAACTACAACAAAGCACAACTACAAATCAAACAAACATACAAAAGTGAATCATATGACTATACAAAATGATTAGCAAACACAAACAAAGCTTGAATATCTAACGAAATCAAATGGTCGACAATATTGTAAGAAACACAACTAAAAAAATTCAACAAACAAAAGCCCATTCAGTTGTGAAAAATCCTGACAAACAAAGGTCTAAACCTTTAACATCCTTCATAAGTAAGTAGTGGCCGGTATTTTGGGTTTTGGAAAGAAACACAGTAACAAAAAGTTGAAATTTTTAACTTCTTGACAAGGCAAAACATCTTATTTTACTATAGAGGGAATCAATTGAGTAGGCCTTATGAAAGGTCATACTTATATAGATAGTTAACTAGCTCATGCAACTCTCACTCCTAGTGGTAAGATACTGAAACTGTCATCGTTTGGTATTAATGTT